GTTACCAGGAGTGTTGACTGTGGAACCAAGTAAACTAAAACTGTTAACTATCTCAATCTCTTCACCATCCATACTGATGCTGCCAGTTGGCCCAGTGGTGAGAATCTTTGTTTTTTTGATGTTGAGCTTCAATCCCCATTGAAGAGTGCAGTCCTTGACTTTCTGTAGCAAGCGCTTCAGGTCCTTCTCAGTTTCAGCAAGCATCGTGTGTCATCTGCATAACGCAGGTTATTGATAATTCTTCCACCAATCCTGATGCCACATTCCTCCTTGTACAGCCCAGCATCTTGGATGATCTGTTCTGCATACAGACTGAAAAGGTATGGAGACAAAATACATCCCTGATGGACCCCTTTCTTGATTTTGAACCATCCAATGTCTCCTTGCTCTGTTCTGACTACTGACTCTTGGTCCAAGTGTAGGTTTCGCATTAGCACAATCAAATGTCCTGGGATTCCCATTCTTCTTAGAGTCAGCCATAGCTTGTTGTGATCCACACAGTCAAAAGCCTTTGCATATTTGATGAAGCACAGATAGACATTCTTCTGGTATTCTCTGCTTTCTGCCAAGATCCATCTAACATTAGCTATAATATCCCTAATACCATGACCTCTTCTAAATCCAGCCTGCACATCTGGCAGTTCTCTGTTGACATATTGTTCCAAACGTTTTTGGATAATTTTCAGCAGAATCTTGCTTGCATGTGATATCAATGATATTGTTTGATAATTTCCACACTCTGTTGGGTCACCTTTCTTTGGTATGGGAACAAATATCGATCTCTTCCAGTCAGCTGGCCAGCTGGCTGTTCTCCAGATTTCCTGGCAAAACTTGTTGAGCACATCCAGGGCAGCATCTGTTTGTTGAAATAAATCAATTGGTATGCTGTCAACTCCTGGAGACTTCTTTTTTCCAATTCTTTCATAGCAACTTGAACTTCCTCCTTCATCACCATAGGCTCTTGCTCATTTGTTATTTCATGAAATTCCTCTGTGTCAGTCAATTCCTTCTGATACAGTGACTGTGTACTCCTTCCATCTTCTTTTTATACTTCCTGGATCATTCAACATTCTACCCAAACTATCTTTAAGTGTTGCCACCTGTGGTTTGAATTTGTTTTTCAACTCCTTCAGCTTAAGAAACAATGAGCAAGTCCTGCCCTTTTGATTTTCTGACTCCAGCTCTCTGCACATTTCATTATAATATCATAAATCTTAGTGAACAACTAGTTTCCCATTCTCATTGAGTGGACCTATGGGGCACAGCGGTACTGCCATCTTTTTTTTTTCTCAAGGCCTTCAATATCTTCCTTCTGTGGTAAGAAAGTGGGTTCAAACCACCCATCTTTCAGTTATCAGTTGAGTGTTTAACCACTGGACCACTATAGCTCCTTATATGCCCTAGGGAGTTAGGCAGAATATCAAGACAATCATCAAGATTCTTAACTTTTTTAAAGAATCTTCTTCTATTGAGTCAGTAAGAATTTGGGATGTTAGATATCTGTCTGACAATTATGTTAGATGGCAGAAAGGATATTGCAGTCATAATTGCACTCCTAAGACCACTAACCAAAAAGTCAACAGTTGAAACCAACCAAAAGCTTCCACAGTGGAAGAGATGACACTGCTTCTGTAAAGTTTACAGACCAGGAAACTATAGGGGGCAGTTCTAGTCTTTCCCACGGGAACGCTATGAATTGTAGCCAACTAGATGACCCACCACCAATAACACCACCAATTGCTGTCCCCAAATTAGTTGATTTGGAAGTATTATAAAGGGAAATTATCTGAATGGGTCTGGCTTAATCAGGGAAAGCTATACAAAGTGTGACTGGAGTATCCTGGTGGTTGATTTGAAATGAGATAGATTCTCTTGAAAAAGAACAAAGAACCACCCTATGTACTACCAATAGAGAAGTCTTGTGGCAGGGACCTGAGAGCAGTCCCCAAGCAAGAGGTAGCAAGAAAATATGGACCTTGGTGCTACAACTGCAAGGAATTGTGCCAGAACAAAACAAATGTAAGCAAGCAGTGAGTTTTAGAACAGCGTCCAAGATTTAGATGGCTGACCCCTTGATTTAGAAGTTGCAAAACTCTGACCACAGAAGCCTGTTACATTGTGAGCAAACTTTTGACACAGAGAACTGTGAGATATTAAATGGGTGTTATTTGAAGCCAGGAGACTTGCAATTAATTACGTAGTGATAAAAATACATTGATAGAAAACTCAAATATTGACTGCCATTCCTAATTAGTATAGTTATGCTGCAATTTCTGGAGATTCTCTACCTCTTAAGTCTGGAACAACCCTAAATTTCTAGGGCAATCTTATTATTATGTTAAACTCTGCTGTTCATATGTAGGAAATGAACAAGAAGATTTAGGATAGCTCTGCCATCTATCATGTTGTTCTCGTCGTTGTTGTTATGTGCCTTTGAGTTGCCTGTGACTCATCATAACCCTATGTAAAACAGCCCTAAACCCTGCTTTATCCTGTGTCAGTCTTACTGTCTGAGACACCTACCCCAGTTACCTCAAGTCACTGAATCAATCCACCTCACAGAGGGTCTTCCTTTCCTGTGCTGTCCCTTCACTCTGCCAAGCATGACGTCCTTCTCCAAGGATTTGTCCCTCCTTGGAACATGTCCGAAGTATGTCAGATGAAGCTTCAGAATCCTTGCTTCCAAGGAGCACCTTCTCAAGGATGAACCTGTTCATTTTCTTAGCAGTCCATGGTATATTCAATACTCTTCTTCAACACCACAGATCAGAGGCATCAATTCTCCTTCTATCCTCCCTAGTGATTTCCAGCTCTCTGACATATAGCAAGTGATTACAGAGATCATGGCTTGTACTAGGCGCACCTCAGTCTCCAGAGTGACACCATTGCTCTTTAGTACTTTGGAGGGGTCCCTAATAGCAGACTTTTGCATCATAATACATCTTTTAATTTCCTGGCTGCGGGTGCCAAGAATGTTGACTGTGGAGCCAAGCAAACTAAAGCTGTGAACAATCTCAATCTCTTCACCATCCATCCTGATGCTGCCAACAGGCCTATTTTACCATGTTGGATTTTGCTATTACTTCCGTTAGGCAGGCTTTATAGAGGCCACTGTCTATATGTAAACTTCTTTTTAAATTTTATTTTATTATATTTTGTGTGTGTACTGTCAAATCAGATCTGACTGGTACAGGAGGAGATTGCCCCTCCTTCTCCAGAAAAGCATCTGGTGGAGTCGAACCGCATACCTCTGTGATTGCAGTGCAGCTTCTTGCCACTAGGTCACCAGAGCTCCATATATATAAACTTTTTAACACGTTGCCACACACTTTTTAAATTGACAACCGTGCTTAGAAACACATTTGCCGTCATTTGCGGCAATGTATTAACCTTGATGTATGGGTCTGACAATTCTGCTAGGGACATTATCCTCCCATGGATTTAGAGCTGCAAATACTCAGTGGATGGTCAGTTACGAGTCAGTATGGGTGGGAAGTTAAAATTATGACTATTTTACTTTTGATAGCTAGTCGTTTTTCTTTTTGGTTTTTATCACATTTAATTTGCCAATGTAATCAGATTTGAATTTATCTTTGCTTATAATGGCCATAAAATCATATCCTGTCATATTCCTCTCAGTTTGGAGTTTAGAATACTTTTTCAACCCTATTGTTTTTAAGAATACAAACTCCTACTCTCTCCTCTCTTTCTCTTCTTCCTTATTTTTTACTTTAAGCATCTCAATACATAACTCTGCTGTAAAATATATCTTTATTTTTACCCATAGGCTCTTACAGTAATTTAGATAAGGGGCAAGTGAACTTATTCCTAATGAATATGAGTGTTTCAAAGTGGAGAGTTTAAAGGGTGTTTAAAAATGCATTGATGGATTTTATGAAGTCTGAGATGATAAAACAATATGTTGATAATTTGTTTCTATAAATACATATGCTAGAATAAGGGTGTGGAATTGCCTTTTGCTTTATTTAACAATTATTTTACATTTTGAAGCTTTAATTTAAATTGCTTTTATTTTTTAACTTAACCCAGATGACTTACAGTAATACAACTGCCTTTCGTCTTCTCTGTTTGTCTTTTTTTAATCATTTTGATTTGCTGGTCTCATGGAAACTCCTGATTCTCATTAAAGTGTCCTAAGGGCACTGAATCAACACATGTTACTTTTAATCCAACATCTCTAAGATGTTCCCTCCTCTGTGATAGCTACACAATGTCCAGAATTCTAACAGCAGTAGACAGTACCAAAGCACAGATACCTCAAACACATGGCTAGACAAAATCCCTTAAGCTCTCCTCCATGTATTCTAATATGGTGATTTATGCAATTAGAGTTTTTGGAGAACTTTTGAAATCAAGCTAAAAGATAGATCTTAAAGGTTTTGACTTGTTCCTTCCTCACCACATATAAAGGTTAATTTTGTTTGCCATTATCCAGATGCTTTTGTGTAGATCTCTCTGAAGGATTCTTTCCTGACGTTCATGAAATCATAGGGAAAATATGCTTTTTGGTGGATAAACCAGTCATGAAATTATAACATCTTTTACTAATCACCTATAGATACATAGAAAAAAAAAACAACCACCTTAATGTCAGATTGGATCGTGCACAAAAGGAATGATACAATATGCCTTTGAGTTAAGATTTGTGCATAAATATTAATTCCAGGATATGAAAGAGTACCTTCAAAATGTATGCCAAAAAAAGAAGAAATATTACCAAGACATCTGTTCCCAGAGAGGGGGGATGGGGGAAAGAGTCCAAGAAAAAAGAAGGATATGAAATAGTTTGATTTTAAATACACATGGAACAAGAGTTAATACATGAGCAGTTTAAGTCACCTTTCTCTTAATTCTAAGGGCCAATTTAAATATTAGTACTTTAGCAAATTATTTACTGCTTGCCAATCCAAAGAAAAATAAGTAGTATTAAACATTTTACATTTCTTTCTATTAAGGATAACTCTTTGTCCTTTGTTTAGTTTTTCAGCTGAATTTGATCTTCGGACATATGATTCACAAGGTGTTCTACTGTATGCAGAATCTCTTGATCAGTCAGGTTGGCTCCTGCTTGCACTTCGTGACGGAAAGATTGAAATTCAGTTTAAGAATGAAGAGACAACTAAAATCACCACTGGGGGCAAAGTTATTAGTGATGGTCTATGGCATATGGTATGTTCTTTCAATTTCACAAAGGATCTCATTTTGTTGCAATTTATATGTATCATTAATACTAATAATAGTTTATTATAATAATTGTAATAACACTTTAGTAATGAAATGAACTTATGAGGAAGGAATTCTTGCTAGTCTGTAGAGAGGAAAAGTCTTTTCTTCAGTAGTCTTTGATTCTTTCAATAGAGGAAAACTGAGAGGAGATCAGCTAAACTTTAAAATGTATACTTACTGCACTCTGGGTTCAAAAGAGATACTCTATAAGCCTGCAAAAACTGATGAGAGGTGCTTTTGTGAAGAAGCTATGTGAAGTCATCACTAATTCCTTTTTTCGTTGATTTACCCACTCATACATTCTTCTAATTGAAGAAGCTGAGAATCAGTCATTTTAAAATGCTCAATTCTTGCATTCAAGACATTAGAACTATAGCAGGAAGCTTTCATTGCCCTGGAATTAAGTTCCTTGCAATGTAGAACCAAGTGCAGCCCACTGAACGAAGGCAGTATAACCTGAACTGTTTTACAGTTAATGTGTAAACCAAGTGCGGTGAGGTACAGATGTAAGTCAACCAAAAGGGGACTCTCTTTTCTTTGAGAACATAGATTCTAGACTCTTTACTCTGGGAAAAAAATGTATTCACAGGATCATGTGAAACTTTAGAAAAAAATTTTTTATTCATGTTGCACATATTCTTCCCCCCTCTTCTACCCCACAATGCACCCCTTGTTCCAGATTGCTGCCATACGTATAATGCTTCATCATATATTCCTTTTGGACAATTCGTCCCCTTAACTGTTCTGCTGCAGTGTTTGTTGTCTGTCCTCTTTTTTCAAATTCTTTCCCCAATCTCCCCACACTCCATATCTGCCCTATTTTATAACAGCGGTATTACGCAGTTTTTGTCCTTTTGTGACTGAGATATTTCACTCAACATAATGTCCTCCAGACTCCCCCATGTTGTGTAATGTTTTACAAGTTGATTTTTTTCAATGGTGCATAATATTCCATTGTGTGAAGGGACCATAGTTTTTCTATCCATTCATTATTGATGAGCACTTGCTACTTCTATCATTTTGCTGTTGGGAATAATGCAATAGACATGGGTGTACAGACATCTGTTTGAGTGGCAGCTCTGGTTTCTTTAGAGTATATTTCCAGTTAGTAGAACTGCTCGCTCAAATAGTATTTCTATTTCCAACCTTTTAAGAATGTGCCAGACCACCTTCTATAGTGGCTGTACCATTTTACATTCTCACCAACAGTGAATAAGAGTTTTAATCTCTCCATGGCCTCACCAGCGTTTGTTGTTTGCTAACCTGTTGCTGTGGTGAAATGATATCTTATAGTTGTTTTGATTTGCATCTTTCTGATAGCTAGGGATTTTGAATATTTCTTTATGTGTTTGTTTGCCATCTGAATGTCTTCTTCGGTGAAGTGTCTCTTCATATCCTGTGCCCATTTTTTGTGATTGGGTCATTTACCTTTTCAATATTGAAGTGCTGCAAAATTGGACAACCATCTGCCGAAAACTTAAGGCAGACCTACACCTCACACCATACACAAAAACCAAGTAAAGGTGGATCAGGGTCCTAGAAGTAAAACCAAAGATTATAAACTTCATCAGAGAGCAGCTAGGAAAAACTCTAGAAGCCCTAATGCAGAGCATGAACAGTCTTCTAAGCATAATGAAATACCTATAAGCAGGAGAGAATAAAATAAAATAAAATTCTTTCTAAGAATCAAATGACGATGCACATTAAGAAAGTTCTCCAACAGGGTAAAAAGGAAACCCACAAACTGGGAAAAAATACTTGGCAATGGCATATATAATAAGGGACTTATATCTAAAATTTGTAGGATCTTGTGAAATTCTTCCCAGGAATTGACAGCAGTGATTCCTGCCATGCTCTGGCTTCCCATGATGCTTCCATTAGCTTTACTTTCCAGATTGAGAGCTATATCTAGAACTTTTGATGTCTACAGCTTTCCTCTCAAATGTTGTTGTTGTTATGTGCCTTCAAGTCACTTGCGAATCATGGTGGCCCTATATACAACAGCCCTAAACTCTGCTCTGTCCTATGCCAATCACACTGTTGCCAGTACACTCTTCCCGATTACCCCAGCCACTGAATCAATCCACCTCATAGAGGGCCTTCCCCTACTGTGCTGTCCCTCAATCCTTCCAAGTATGATGTCCTTCTCCAAGGACCAGTCCCTCCTCACAACGTGTCCAAAGTATGTTAGACGGAGCCTCAGAATCCTTGCCTCCAGGGAGCCACCAGGTTTAACCCTTTCCAGGATGAATCTGTTTATTTTTCTAGCAGTCCATGGTACCCTCAATACTCTTCTCCAGCACCACAGCTCAAAGGCATCAATTCTCCTTCTATCCTCCTTGGTCATTGTCCAACTCTCTGATGTGTAACAAATGATAACAAAGACCATGACCTGTATCAGGCACACCTTAGTCTCCAGAGAGACACCATTGCTCTTCAGTACTTTGGAGAGGTTCCTAATAGCAGACTTTCCCATGGAAATATGTCTTTCAATTTCCTGGCTACTGGTACTGAGAGTGTTGACTGTGGAGCCAAGCAAACTAAAGAGGTAGTCGTCAGAACAGAGCAAGGGAACACTGCATGGTTCAAAATTGGGAAGGGATTACGCCAGGGATGTGTCCTGTCTCCATATCTTTTCAACCTGTATGCAGAACAGATTATCTGGGAGGCTGGGCTCTATGAGGAGAAGGGTGGTGTCAGGACTGGTGGAAGATTCATCAACAATTTGCATTATGCAGATGACACAACCCTGCTTGCTGAAACTGAGGAGGACCTGAAGCACTTGCTGCAGAGGGTCAAGGACTGCAGCCTCCAGTATGGATTGAGGCTCAACGTCAAGAAGACAAAGATTCTCACCACTGGACCAATTGGTAGCATCAGGATGGATGGTGAAGAGATTGAGATTGTTCACAGCTTTAGTTTCCTTGGCTTCACAGTCAACACTCTCGGGACCTCTCAAATGTACTGTCTAATATTCCTAAATATTTGTTATAAAATCCCCTTTTCACCCAAAACTGAAGGCATATATACACATTTTTTTTAATCTAGAGGGTTTATATGAATTGAAAATACTAGCTATTTCAATGAAAGTGTAGATAAATTTCTAGGTAGTATAAAATAAGAAGATAAATGTTTACCATAACATTACCATTATGAGTTTTGGGTAAGAATTGTTCCTGAATAATTAAAAATTAAAAAGAACAGGTTTTGAGCTGAATGGAAGGCACTTGTTTAATTAAATGCATTTATTCACAAAAACACAGAGTTTGTGTTTAAGATGGTTTTAAAAACCTTATTTAGGGATATACTTCTATTTTAATGAAGAAAGCTTTGTTCATAAGCTAAATACAATTATATATATAAGAAGCAATTGACATATATAGAAATAAGTAAAATTTTAATCGTCTAATAAATGTTGTCCTATTTGAATAATTTAAAACTTTAATACTTAATTAGAACAACTTAGAAATTTTCATGGCCTTGATATAAATAAGATTTTTTTGGTAGTCTATAAATTAAAAAACATTTATTGCATATTTTACCAGTTTAAAAACTTTTAGTGACATTGACTACATTTTTCAAGTTGTATAACCATTCCCACTTAACTTTTCAGAGTTGTTTTTCCAAAGTAACATCAGTATGTTGTTATCGTGTGCTGTTGAGTGGTAACCCACCCATAGCTGGCTCTCCAGCAGGTTTTCAGAGGCAGTAAATCACATAGAAGGGAACTACTCACTCTTCAGACACAGAGCACCTGGTGGATTCGAACCTTTGCGATTGCAGAGCAACTTCTATAGGGAGTTTTGGTGACCTAGTGCATAAAGAGTTACACTGCTAGTGTAAAGGCAGGCAGTTCAAATCCATCAGCTCCTTCATGGGAGAAAGATGGGCCATCTTCTGTGAAATGTGTGCTCCGAAAACCATTAGAGGGTCAGTTTTGAACTGGTTGTGACTCAAATGCAATGTGTTTGAGTTTTCTTGATGTTCCTGTATAATCTTTCAAGATTTTGCTAACTTGATGCCATATGAATAGTTTTTAAAAGAAAAAAATACTCAAAGGAGATGTTTCCTGCTAGTTATGGTAAGCTATTGTTTGGTTTTAGGAGCTCAGGTCTGTCTTTGAGAAAGTGAAACTAGGTAGGTACTCCTTGGAGACAAGGATGGTGAAACTTCGTTTCACAGTTTTTGGGCATGTTGCTACGCAGGGTCAGTCCTTGGAAAAGGACATGATATTTGGAAAGGTAGAAGGTCAGCATAGAACAGGAAGACCCTCAACATGATGGAATGACACTGTGACTGTAACAAATGAGCTCAAATGTGTCAGAGATAGTGAGGATGGAATAGAATAGAGTTCAAATCCATTATTCTCATAGGTTTGCTGTTGGTTGTAATTGGTACATAACAACAGTGGCAGGTTTAGTCCTTAGACTTTGAGAAGGCAAATCTAAGGAGTTGGGCCAAACTTTAAATGTAATTTGCGCAATCCAAAGATATTTTTGAGTTCTAGTACCCAAGTGGAGAGGGTTGTGTTTTCATTCTAAATGTGGATAGTTGGAATCCATCAATTACTCTGTGGGAGGAAAAATTGACAGACCATTACCAGTCCCCCCACTGTGCAATTTCCAGCCTCCAAAATCTGACCAAAAGATTAGCTGTGAATAAGAAAAAATAATATTCAGTTTTAAGTTTAATTCAGGAGCTATTTTTGGAGTAAGGTTTAAAGATTATTTCAAGGCTCAGCTCAGGATTTCATCCAATCTTAATGACTCGAGAAAATCTGAAGTTCAAGAGACTTTAAAATCCCATTCTGCATTTTTTACATTTGATCAATGCTTTTCTTGGGGAGTTTTTGATCAAATGCTCGGTAATGGCAGTTCGCACCATTCAGTTTCAAGACAAAAAAGGCAGTTGCTCATGAAGATCACACATTCCATGTTCTCCTTTTATTCCTAGTCCAAGCAAATACAGGCCAAATGAGTGTTTCAGTTTAACAGAATAATACTGACATTTTAAACCTTAAAAAGTGATGTGCATTTTATTTTCTGATCAACAATTGTCTCCTTAAAACACATTTTTTAAAATCTCCTTTATAATAGCTTTGTAATATCTCTGTAATTTCATGGGAGGAGATTGCCTGTCATTCTCCTGTGGAACCATTTGTGGATTTGAACCTTGTGTCTTTCGGTTTGCAACACAGCTTCTTCCCACTGGGCCAACAGAACTCCTTTATAATAGCTTGAGATTTCAAATAGGATGGAAGAATAACTATTAAGATAATTCTTTTGGAGCATTACTAGAATCATGGATTTCTAATTTCATTGTTTCAAATGTCATGTATAGTCTTTGGTAGTTGGTTGATAATTTTACCATTTTGTTACAGATCTCTGTGGAAGAATTAGAAGATAGTATTAGTGTTAAAATAGCTAATGAAGCTGTGATGAACATAAATAAACCTGGAAGCCTTTTTAAGCCTACAAATGGATTTCTCGAAACCAAAGTATACTTTGCAGGATTTCCTCGGAAGGTGGAAAATGCACTCATTAAACCGGTAATGATCCAAGTCGATATCACTCATCAAGGGTTGAAATCCTTTTATCAGTAATAAATTTGAAGATGTGTTTTCCTAAGAGTTAATAGAAGTTATTTTGTTAAACACACCAAGTGTGACAAGTGGAATTAAGCATAGAAAATTAGCATTACTGGCTCTTGAAACTATGTTAAGGAAATAAGAAAAATGAACATATTGTCACTGTGCCCTTAAAAATAATTATCCAGTATTATTTATGGAGAACTTTCTTAGATATCAATTAAATATTAATATAGTTGTCCATACTCAGCCATTAAGCCTATAAATGTATATATTTGAGCCTCAGAATACATTATTTTATAGAAGTCTATCAGAGAACATTGAGAGATTTGTTTGCAGACTTAAATTTGCAAAGTTGAAGATTACACATGAGGTGAATTTGCTTGGGAGGGTGGAGGAACAGTGCAGGAGCAGAAGGCCCTCTATGAGGTGGATTGATGCAATGACTGGGATAATCAGGATGGGAGTGTCAGAGACAGTGAGATTGGCACAGGACAGAGAAGAGTTTAGGGCTGTTGTACATAGGGTTGCTATGAGTCGCAAGCGACTCGATGGCACATAACAACAACAACAACAACAACAAATTGAGGGTAGAACCTCAAAATAAGTTGAAGTGACATAAAATGAATGGATGATTTTCTGAGTGTGATGTTTGTCTAATAACTGTGAAATAGGTTAGTCATGTCATGGACCTACTAAATACATTTGCTTATTTAACTTTTACTGTTATATATCCATCTTTCACTTGAATTTTCATTGCTGCTTTAATGTAAAAAAATATTTTTGTAATGATATAAAACCTGCATTAGTTTACCATTGTAAAGTGAATATGTTAGTTCTTTGAAACTCATCAATCGAGACATTAAAAAGTATATTAAGTTAAACGAATCAACTGTTTATTCAATGACTATTAAGTATCTTGAATATGGTTGGATGCTTTGATGGAGGCTTAAGAATGCAAACAGGTATTATTTTTCTTTTCTGAAGAAGCTTAGAGTTTGATGGACAAAGTATAAGTTGTGCCCTGAATGCAAATAAAGAAAAGTCTAAAAAGAACTTAGCACTCAGGACCACAGCTGGAATCAGTTATAGAAACTGAGGCAAGCATATCCCAATGGAGAACTGGAATGGCATAAATTCATTTTTGCTGCAAAAGATTGTCTACTTGAAGGAAACTTCCAAATAAATTTTTGTATTGTAGGACATATTTTTAAATGTCTCCTCCTCCCAGAACCTCCCAGAGCACACACTACTTTCCTTCTAAATTGAAAACATCAACTATCCATTTGACTTGTTTAAGTTAAAATGCACTTCTTGACCTATGCTTTTAACTTGTTAGATTAATCCTCGTCTAGATGGATGTATACGAGGCTGGAACTTGATGAATCAAGGAGCTTCAGGAGTAAAGGAAATTATTCAAGAAAAACAAAAAAAACATTGTCTTATCACTGTGGAGAAGGGGTCTTTCTATCCTGGTTCTGGAGCTGCTCAATTTAATATAAATTATAGTAAGTGATTGTCCCTTTTATTTTTCTTATTAATGGCTGTTTTTTTTTTCTTTTTCACAAACAAATAGCAGTTATTCCACCAGAAAACATCACTGAATATTTTCTGAGTGCCACGTTTACTCTTATTTTATCAACTTTTTATAAAACTTTATCAGAAATTAAAAAAAAATATAAAGTCAGCTTAATATGCTTATATGATTACTTAAAGTTTCCTGCAATGTAATCAGACTAATTTTGGGGTAATTTCTATTGACCTATTTTGAAGTTGCTGATTTCCATGCTGTATTAAGTCTATTGATAAGTCCATAAAAGGGGTTAATTATAATTTCTAGTATTTTCATCTGATCGTTTTTTAGTTTTTGCTTTGCTAAAATTCATCATATGTTCATTATCTTTCTACATTGTTTCTTGCCATAATCCTCTCTGTCTCTGTCTCTCTTTATCTATATTTGTATATCTATCTCTCTCTCTATCTATCTCTCTATCTGTCTATCTCCTATCTCATAATTACAACATCTTTGTCATGTCTGAGTCAAGTCCCTTTCATTGCTTTGTCTTTTGACTGTGCTTTATCCTTTTATCTTTTAAGTTGTTGTAGTGGTAGATATCTTATGAAGGACAGAAGATTTGTAAGTAATACTTATATCTGGAAGTGGAGACACCTCTTTTTTTTTGTTAGATTTTTAGTGTAGAAGGTTAAATTAATTTAGTCTGAACTGCTTGAGTTTTCTTATTGTTATGATTATCGTTATCTCATCCTAGGTACCAGACTCTAGCCATTTGCCTTATGTTTGGGCTGATGTGTCAGAAAGTTTGTCTTAAAGGTTGTTTCATCTTCAGTGTTCCATGCATACTCTTATGGCTGTGCCTTAAGAATAAGCAGTGCCTACTCTTGTCCTCGCCTTTTCCTAGTTGAGTGCTTTTTCTTGTTATTTGACCTTTGCTAACCTGGCTCTATGTTTTTGGGTTAGGAAGCATTCTTATTGTTCTGGTGTAGATCATGTCTTAGGGGTTGTATGCCTGGGTCTCAGAGATTTTGAACTGTTTATATTCCTTCCTTCCCCTCCTCAGGCTCCTAAAAGTAAATTATTAATGACTGGGATTTAGGATATTTTTTGGTTCTTTCATCAAAGTAGAGGTTTCTCTGTTTGTTTTTCTTCTGGTTTCTTCTCCTAACCCATAGTTGTGGTATTGGAGAAGAGCACTGAATATCCCATGGTCTGCCAAAAGAACAAACAAATATGTCGTGGAGAAAGTGCAATCAGGGTGCTCCTTCGAGATAGAGATCATGAAACTTGGTTTTACATTCTTTGGGCAAGTTGTTAGGAGGGGCTAGTCCTTGGTAAAGACATCAGGCTTGGAAAGGTGGAGGGTCTGTGAAATAGAGGAAGACCTTTCACAAGATAGATTGACTCAGTGACTGTAACAATGGGCACATGATAAGATCATGAGAATAACACAGAATAGGGTAAGGTTCAGATCCGTTGTTTATAGAGTCACTGAGTCGTAGATCACTTGATGGTGTTTAGAAACAACAATAATAACATCACATAGATTCAGTGGCTTTTCCTATGTATACTATACTAAAGAAGTGTTTGCTGCTTTTCCCCAAAGCCTTAGACTTTGCTTCTATAGCAGAGAGCAAATGAGTGGGGCTCTAGGGTGTTTTGTTTTGTTATTTTTTTAGTTTTCTTCTAGTTTATTTATGAAATTAAAATACTTTGTTTCCAAGAACATATTTTTTTCAGTTTTTCTCACCCACACCCATCAAATTGTACAACCCCATCATTAATCTTTTCTAAATGCTGGTCCATGTTCCCTCTGCAAGGCTTGTTCTAGGAGGCAGGCTTTCTCTGGTTTCTTTTTCTGCTCACCAGTGTTTCTTGTGAACACATGCAAGATCTGTAGAGAAAAGACTTGTGAATAAGTGTGAACTTCACTTTTATCTACAATTACCATGGTTTCTATACGTTCACATCAGTTCACACTAGAATTGGAATAGTTTGTTAAGTTTTCACCCAAATTTTTATTACCAAATATCTTGTATCTATCCTAGGTAAGCAAGTCCTCTTAATTTTAAATTAGGTCTTGTAAGTATCTATCATTTTTTAAGTTTCTTTTAGCAGACTTGTTCTGCAATCTTAGTGCATTGGTGTTTGAAGTTGAGTTGTCTTTTGATATTACTGTAAGAGTGAGAATATTGATCCTCTTCTAGTTCTCTAAACAGAGAAGGAATCCTTTCTTACCAGACTGACTTCAGAGGTTTTAGCTTTACAAACACTATTTCAGTGACTGTCCTTTGATATACATTATTATACCCTGATAGAGGGCTGCACTGAAGGCAATGTAAGAAAAATAAGGCCACAGGAATTGATGATCTACCAACTGACATGTTTCAATGACAGATACAGCCCTGATGTGCTCACCAGTGTATGCCAGGAAATTTGGAGGAAAGCTGCCTGACTGAATGATTGGAAGCTATCCATATTTATTCTCATTCCTAAGAAAGGCGATCCAACAGGATGTGGAAATTATTGAAAAATATCATTATTGTCACAGTACTATGCAAGCAAAATACTGCTGAAGATCATTAAAAAACAGCTAGAACAGTACATAGACAGAGTCCAGATGTTCAAACTGAATTTAGAAGAGGCCATAGTTGCTGATTTTAGATGTATCCTGGCTGCAGGCAATGAATATCAGAAGAATATCTGTTTGTGCTTTATTGACTATGCAAAGTCATTTGACTGTGTGAATCATAACAAATTATGGCTAATATTGAGAATAAGGGAAATCCCAGAACACTTAATTGCACTCATGTGAAACCTATACCTAGACCAAGAAGCTATTGTGCAAACAGAGCAAGGAAATACTACATTGTTTAAAATTAGGAAGGGTGTGCGTAATGTATGTTTCTTTCTCCATGCTATTTAATCTGTATGCTGAGCAAATTATTCAAGAAGCTAGACGTGTTGAAGAAGAAAGTGGCATGAGAATTGGAGGAAGTCTCATTAATAACCTTTGTTATGAGGGTGGAAGTAGAGGGGGAGGGGGAATTAGTCATGGAATTTGTATAAATTGATGGGTTGTGGGTGAGGGAAATGGTAAGAATCTCTTCTCAAAAACAGTGTATTTTAATTTTGTAAATAAACTAGTATATACATTATATAAATTATATTATATATATATATATAAAACCTTTGTTATGCAGATGACACAACCTTACTTGCTGAAAGTCAGAAGGACTTGAAGTGCTTTCTATAGAAGGTTAAAAACGGCAACTTTCAATATAGATTGCATCACAGTGTTAAGAAAACAAAAATTCTCACCATTGGACCCATAGGTAATATCATAATAGATGGAGAAAAGAAAAGATTGAAACTGTCAATGACTTCTTACTTGGATCCACAATCAGTATACTTGGTAGCAGTCAGAAGATCAGGAGATGTATTGCCCTGGGGAAATTTGCAGTTAGGAACCTCTTTGCACTATTAAAGAGCAATGAAGTCAGTTTGAGGACTAAGGAGCACCTGGTTCAAACCATGGTTTATTCATTCATTTGATATGCATCTGGGATCTCAACAGTGAAGAGGAATGACAGAATAATTGACGCTTTTGAGCTGTGGTGTTGGAGAAAGTAGTGAATATCGCCTGGACTGCCAAAAGAACAAACATTTCCTGGAGAAGGTGCAGCCAGAATACTCCTTGGAGGCAAAGATGATAAAGATTCATATCACATATTCTAGGCATGTTGCTAGGAAAACCTATTCGTTGAAGAGGGACATCATGCTTGGAAAGATGTAGAGATGGCAAAGGAAAGGAAGACCCTCAACGATGTGACTACAGTGACTGCAGCGGTGTGTCAGAGATTGTGAGAATGGCACAGGATAAGATGAAATTCAGATCTGTTGTTCATAAATCACTATGAATCGTACTCAGTGGCATCTAATAACAACAGCAATAACAACAACAACCACCATCCTAATATAATCAATTGTGCAGGAAACAATCTTATGATTGTCTTATATCCTTCAAGGGTTATACAAAGACTCAATTCTTAAAAGTTTCACCCAATTCTCTTCCAAAGATATTTTGTCAATTTATGTTCTTAATCTTATAGTTACAAATTAAATCTTCTATGAGGAGAAATGTGGGGTCAAGATTGGTGGAAGATTCATCAACAGTCTGCGTTATGCAGATGACACAACCCTGCTTGCTGAAACTGAGGAGGACCTGAAGCACCTGCTGCAGAGGGTTAAGGACTGCAGCCTCCAGTATGGATTGAGGCTCAATGTCAGGAAGACAAAGATTCTCACCACTGGACCAATTGGCAGCATCAGGATGGGTGGTGAAGAGATTGAGATTGTTCACAGCTTTAGTTGGCTTGGCTCCACAGTCAACACTCTTGGCACCAGTAGCCAGGAAATTAAAAGACGTACTGCCATGGGAAAGTCTGTTGTTAGGGACCTCTCCAAAGTACTGAAGAGCAATGGTGTCTTTCTGGAGACTAAGGTGCATCTGATACAGGCCATGGTCTTTGTTATCACTTGTTATGCATCAGAGAGTTGGATAATGACTAAGGAGGATAGAAGGAGAATTAATGCCTTTGAGTTGTGGTGCTGGAGAAGAGTATTGTGGGTACCATGGACTGCTAGGAAAACAAACAGATTCATCCTGGAAAGGGTTAAACCAGGCGGCTCCTTGGAGGCAAGAATTCTGAGACTCCGTCTAACATAGTTTGGACATGTTGTAAGGAGGGACCTGTCCTTGGAGAGGGACATCATTCTTGGGTGGGTGGAGGGACAGCACAGGAGGGGAAGGCCCTCTATGAGGTGGATTGATTCAGTGACTGGGCTAATCGGGATGGGAGTGTCAGAGACAGTGCGATTGGCACAGGACAGAGTTTAGGGCTGTTGTACATAGGATCGCTATGAGTCACAAGCGACTTGATGGCACATAACAACTACAACATTCAGCATTTATAAGTTGAATGGCCTGAA